TTAGACTGAATTACCTTCTGCATACATATGTAAGTATTTGGGCTTGAGCAGTTCTCTGTGTAGCCTTTGAAGCTGGAGCCATACACTGCACAGTTTCCTTTTTGCACTAAAACCAGAGAAAGTCTGGAGAGGAAGAGAGAGAGGGAGAGAGAGAGAGAGGGAGAGAGGGAGAAAGAGAGAGAGAGAGAGAGAGAGAGAGAGAGAGAGAGAGAGAGAGAGAGAGAGAGAGAGAGAGAGATGATTCTTATATTTACACTTGCTAATTAAACAGGAACACCAAATCACCTGTAATTCCTAGCAACATTTGCCTCAGTGTTAGGCCAGGGAAAAGACCTTCTCCTTGGCACAGCAAAAAAAAAGAAAAAGGAAAAGAAACTCAAGAATTATCTCAAGAAACTACAGCAGCAAATACGTATTTGCCTACAAATACTTGTTTACAAATACATAAACAGGAGGCCAGGAATCTTCAAAGGAATGAACTTGGGCATTACCATTACTTCACTGGATCCTTATTTGCTTGGCTGTAAAATTAGGAAGCATAACTAGATGACCTTTAAGGTTGTCTACATTTATGATCTTATGATTCCACATAATGCTAATAGCATAATGCTAGGGACAAAATAGTCATTTCAATAAATGCTTTTGGACCTGACTTGACAGAAGATAGAATATTAGTCTCCTAACTCCCATTCTGATTATCTCATTTCCAACAGTTCTATATGATTTTGCTAGAAATTTTGCAGTGCCTTCTATGTACTGTAAATAGTGTTACCTATTGGGCCAGAAAGTAAGGAATGAAATACTCAAGAAATAGTGATGCTGTTGCTATAAAATTAAACAGAATGAGAGGTCTACATTCTGGCTAGTTGTTCCCCCTAAGAAGGTGGAAAGATAAATTTAAAAATTAAGCTAGGAACCTGCTATTAAAATCTAATCAAAACCAAGCAGAAAGAAACATAATTTTAGGTCGACAAATCAAGTGAACAAGCATTTATTAAGTACTTACTATATGCCAGGTATTACTGTGCTTTAGGTGCATTTGGATGATTATCTATATATACATATACATACACACATATATGTATACATGCATATACACATACATACATATATACACATATGCACACATACACACAAATATATCTATCTCCCTCCCTCCATATTTCCTATTGTATGGGAGGCAATAAGACTCCACAATGGGGAGCTTTATGGAATTATACAGAGGAACCTCTGCTATTCACATTCACATCAGTGAAAAATTTCAAACCGTAGGGAAGGAAGTCATTCCAAGGCCAATTATGGAAATATTGGTAAGTCCAAACTCTTGAGGCACTTAGTGAGGTGGAATGGTAGTACCCATTGAAAAAAGATAAAGGATACAGTTGGAGAGAGTAAATAATAGTTGTGACAATTAGACAAAGGTGTTGGGATAGTATTATTAATTTACTTATTTGGATGTGATGGTAATAAGTGTAAAGGCCAGAAAACCAGCTTGGGATGATTTTACTGTTGAAAAAGGAAATACAAGCCAACTTTAAATAAACCAGAAAAAGAAATTTTGAAAGCATTCCCTGGCTGGAGAGTAAACCCTGTTATTTACACTAGGAGAGAAAAGCAGAGAATAGATGGAGATTGCAAATGGCTGTGAATTTGTTGCTGCTCCTTGAGCTTAAAGAACAATGAACTGATTAGGTCAGTTTCTTCAGTCTTATCTTCCAAAGCTGACATAACTAGTATATTGACTCTGGTTGTGAGCAGTTTGTAGGCAAGGGTCCCTGCTGTCTTAAGAATGACCTATTGAATAACCAAGAAATACAAAAGACTTAAAACAATTTACATAAACTTTAAGAAGATGAGGGTGTTCTTTAAGCTCCAAGAGTTACGATAGAAGCTAGCTGGCACAGTGGGTAAGTAAAGTAAATAAGACTTGGGGTTAGAATAGACCTGAGTTCAAATCCCACCACAGCCACTTAGCTATTTGGTCCTGGGCAAAACACTTAACCTCATCTGTAAAATAAGACTAATAACAAAATGAGGTATAATAATACCTCGCAAGTCTGTTGAGAATTAAATGAGGTAACATGTACAGTTCTTTGCAAATCTTAAAGTTCTATGTAAATATGGTTATGAGGATGATGATTGGTCTGAAGTTTTTGCCTTCCCCCTTTCTTCCTTGGCTTTAAGACTCCTCTTTTTTCTCTGGCTCCATCAGCATTCCAGTGTGAGGAGAAAAAGATAATAATGACAAGGATACTGATAATACTAACTAAAAAATAAACCAAAAAAAACCCCACAGAGTTGAAAAAAGACTTAATAATAATATCTAACTTTATATAGAACATGGGATCTAGGACTTTTTTTGTGTCATGGATCCCTTTGGAAATCTGGTGAAGCCTACTGACTTCTCAGAATCATGTTTTTAAGCATATAAAATAAGATGCAAAGGATTACAAGAGAAGCCAATCATATTGAAAACCAGTAACCAAAATATTTTTTAAAACAAGTTCACAGACCCCAGGTTAAGAATTGCTGAGTAAAGCTTTAAAGTGAGCAAAATGCTTTAGCGATATTCTCATTTAATCCTCACAGCAACCATAAGGATAGGTGCTATTAGTCTCCATTTTACAGATGAGGAAACTGAGATTGAGAGAAGATAAGTGACTTGCCCAGTGTCACACTTCCTGACTCCAGATCCAGTGCCCTATATGCTACCTAGATGACTTTTTAATATGCTTCAATATGTTTCAAAATATTAGAGACTTACAGGTCAGGAGAGAAAGGCGAACCATCTTCCCACATCCAGAACCCACTGGGTGTAGGTTGTACTAGTCCCATCCAATGGTATGATTTTACCAGTGCAAGGAAATCCTGTTTAAAACAAGCCAGAAAAGCTAAAGTCCATGAACTGCATTTTTGTACATGATTATCACAGATAAACCCATAATTAATTCTTTTTTTGCCAGTACTAGTGGTTATGCAATCTGATACTCATTTTGTTTAAATTCCTACCCAATTATATTTAAAATATATTTTTATTTCTCACTGTGTGTGAGTGTGTATGTGTGAGCATTGTATTATATGGTAAAGGGAATAAAATGTTCAACAAAGATACCATAGACCACTGGTCTCTTTCTTTTCAACTAGAAATAACAAGACCAAATTACTTCTTCTTATTGGGTAAAACTAAATCATAGAATAATTGTGGCCATATGAACACAATATGGGTAGATCAAAAATAAAAACATATACTTCCATCAGTTATATTTCCCGGGGACAATTTCATGCAATTGCAACTAAATAAAATGGCTACACAAATATTCTATGGCACCTCCAAATTACTTAATAGTTTGACATAGTTCAATTAAATTTTCATAGAAGCAGCATCAGCATCCCAAGACTACATTTACTCAGAGTCAGAATGATTATTTGGCAATAAATATTTCTAAACTATTGTGCCATCCACTAGATGGAAGAAAATTTGAAACAAACCATAACAAGTTTAGTTTAATCACAAAAATTAAAATAGATAAGCTTATTGCATGTAATTGAAAAGCATGTGTATGAACAAAATTAATGCAACTAGGATAAACAAAGGAAGCTGACAACTGGGGAAAAACTCTTACATCAAATGTTTCTTATAAAAGTCTGATATACAGACATGTAAAGAAACAATACAAACATGTAAGAACAAGAGACACTTGACAATGTAAAAGCGATCAAAGGATGGGAACAAACAGTTCTCAAATGAAAAATTTCAAATTATTAATGGGAAAGATTGCTCCAAGTTATTACTAAGATAAATGCAAATCAAAGCAACCCTGAAATTTTTTTTCTCACACCTAGAAAATTGACAAAGGTGACAAAAAATTGATATAGCCAATATTGAAAGTCATAGAAAGACAGGCATACTAATAAACACTAATCATGGAGCAGTAAATTGGTCCAGCTATTATGGAAAACAATTTAGAATTGTTGACTATAATGTCCATATCCTTTGACTTCAAGATCATAGATCTAGGCATATCCTCCAAGGAGAACAAAGATAAAAAGAAATGACCCATATACACTAAAATATTTATAGCAGCACATTTTTCTGGTAGCAAAGAACTTGAAAGAAAGTACATGCCTGTCATTTGCTGAGTAGGGACACCAACTGTGGTATATGAAGGCAATGGAAAATTACTAAGCCATAAGAAATAAATAGGAAGAATTAAGAGAAAAATGGAAAGATTTTTATGGTATCAGAGTCAAATAAGCAGAAACAGGAAAACAATGTATACAATCACTTTAACAACATAAGTGGAAAGAGCAACAATGAAAAAGAATGCTTATACATAATTATAATGAGCAATATATAATTATAATTACAAATTATAATAAAATATAATATAAAATGAAATCAAAATATATATAAAATATAATTATAATGAGCAAGCTGGACCCAAAGAAGAAAAGACAAAATATCCCTCCTGCCCTTCTATGTAGAATTGGGAGATTATATGTATGGAACAATGTGTATACTTTCAGGAGGGGAAATTTAAGCAAATATCTAACCTGGTCCTCCCTGCTATATATCTTAAGGAGACTGGAATTGTGAGATAGGCAGGAAGCTCGACTCTGATCCCAACTTTTGCTTTCATTAGAAAATAGATAGCAGTTGTTTTTGTAACAAACCCAATTCTTAGGACATGGGCCACAGTAAAATCCTAGAACGAGAGTGTATTTTATCAATCTTAGAAAACCCCATAGCTTTTATATGACATTTTCAATTGAATATCCTTCCCTATGTAGAATTCTAATATTCCACACAAAAATCACCGTGTCTATTCCAGCATCCCCATACATCTACACAAGTACTCTTAACTAAACATGTTATAAATTGCCCCGATTGACCTGATATTTTCCCCTTTTTGATCTAATAACAGGTAAAAGATATAATCAATAGCTAGGAGAAAACTGAAAATATGACTTAGAATTAAGCCAGATTGACCTTTCATTTCTCTATTTAGCCCCATAGCATGTCTGCATTCTCAACTATTCTAAATTATTGGCTCATGAAACTAGAAATAGCTTCCACCTACCATTTGCGTTGCTTGGAGCCTTTGGGTTGGAAGCTGCCGTAGAAAGAACCATGATTATTAGGAATCCTGCTATGTCATCATCATCACCATCATCTATTTTTTTTATCATCTTACTCATCTGAATAATACAAACTCATACCACCCATCTTCTTATTTTATGGTTTTAGAATATTTCAAGTTACTGTAAAGCTACACTTTTTATGATTACTGTTCATCCATCTACATGAAATTGTTCCAGAGTATACACAGCATAGGTTACTTTGATTTTTAAAAAATGCTAATAATTGAGCTACAGATGTCAATGACTGTGCTTGTGATTTATAATACAAATGACACAAAACATTACTAAGTTGCTTTGCCTAAGATTGTGTTGAACTTTCTTTGTATTATTTCTAAGATACATAGTATTATAAGATGTCTCTGACCTGCTCAAATAAAAGTGTATCAAAATAAGTTGATTATACAGTTCCAAGTAGCAAAAGGTATTTTCTTCTCTATCCCTCCACCCCCTAACCATCATGCAAAATTAGTGAGTAAAAAGAGCAAAGCTTGGAGCATTGTGCAGGTTATTATTTTCAAAATGCCACATCTTACATAGAATACAGCATTCTTTAGGGTAATAACAATAAATGATTTCTGTATAGTACTTCAAAGGTCTTTAGATCTAGTAAAGACATAAACCTAAAACCTTAAAGATGTAAAGAAAAGATGTAAAACCTTAAACCTCACAAAAACCCTTTGAACTAAGTGCTACTCAAGTCAAGTCAACCAGCATTTATAAAGCACTTACCACAAGCCAAACAAAATAGTCTCTGCCCTCAATTAGCTTACATTCTAATGGGAAAGATAACATGTAAACAACCGTGTACAAACAAGATGTATACAAGATAAATTAGAGATGATCTCAAAGAGAAGGCATTAGCATTAAGGGGAATCTTGAGGAAAGGCTTCTTGCAGAAGGTGGAATTTTAGCTGACTTGAAAGAAGTTAGGGAAACCAAGAAGCAGAGATGAGGAGGGAGAGGATTCCAGGCATAGGGGACAGATATCCATCCAGTGAATATGAACAGAGAGGAGAGGGACTGCCTCATGTGAGGAGCAATGGCAAAGAAGCCAATGTCACTGGGATCTCTGAGTATATGAGGATTGTGGGGGAGAGGGAAGTAAAGTATAAGAAAACTGGAAATGTAGAGGAGGCAGATTATAGAGGGTTTTATAAGCCAAACATAGGATTTTATATTTGATCCTTGAAGTAATAGGAAGTCACTGGAGTTTTTTTTTAATAAGGGGGTGAACTGGTCAGACCAGAGAAATCACTTTCATAATTGAGTGGAAGATGGACTAGAATGCAGAGTGATTTAAGACAGGGAGATCAACCAGCAGGCTTTAGCAATAATGCAGGCATGAGGTGATGAGGGCCCATATCAGAATGGTGATAGTATCAGAAGAGAGAAGGGGGAATATACAAAATGTTGCAAAGGTAGAATTGATAGACTTGGCAAGAGATGGCACCTAGGGTATTTTTATCCCCATTTTACAGATGATGAGAAAACTGAGGTTTTGATCACTTAAATGATTTGCCTACTGTCATACAGTTAGTAAGTTTCAGAGATGGGATTTGAACCCAGATCTTCCTAAATTCTAATCCAAAGCCTTTTCTACCATGCCACACTGACTTTTCAGTGTTCAACTGGCTGAAATGATCATTTACTATATCTTAATAACTACATTTGTTTTAGCTTTTAACTATATTTATATCACTTATCTTCTTAGTTTATGTTTTTGGAATATATAGTAACATTAGCTAAGTGCTTTAAGCAGAGTGGAATGGTGAAGCATCAACCTATCTCTTCTCAAATCCATCTCAAAGCTTTTTAGTGTTAAAAACCTGTGCTGATGGACAAACTATCCTATCTACATGAAAAATGATAGACACAATTTAAAAAAATTCATTGTACTTTATTTTCTTTCTTTCACCTCATTCACAAAGCCTATCTAATGGATCAACAATGAGTCTATAGTCTAAGTATGCCACTATGCTCCTTGCCACTATGTGTGTACATGTATGTATGCATATATTAAAAGCTTATTTTAAGTGTTGTCCATTCAATATATAATAATATAATATAAACATTATAAATAATTAAATAATAATATAAAATTATATATAATAAATAATTAAATAATCAATAATATAAAAACTATATCTATGTTATAACATAGAATAAATAATTAAATAATCAATAATATACAAATTTATAGTTATTAGCAACATATTTGAAACTCAATTAACTTATTCACTTATTGGTAACTCAATGATGTAAAAGAAAATGAATGTCTAGTGCATAATATTGGCATGATTCAGCTTTCTCTGTCATTACTTACAGTAAATGAATATGGTGCCTAACATGGCCAGCATCACGAAGAACTTTATTCCCATTACCACTGCAATGAATCGACGGAGAAAAAGTAGAGATTCTACCAAAAGAAAAATGAGACACTGAGCAAAAGAAAAGGTAAAGGGAGTAAGAAGCTTTGGGATTAGGGGCATTAATCTAGGACCTATACATCTGAACCCACTGAACATGAAGAGGAGATTGATACACTTTTTTCTTTATGAGTTCTTCTGAGTTATCAACTATTTCTGTGCCACCTGCCTCAATTAAAAAATTCCATTTCATTCTAATGACAAAGAAAACCTCTCTAATTTGCCCAGTTGTTTGTCCTAATAATGTTCTCTTTCCCACCATTTTGTCAGAGCTTATTTCATGCTTAAGGACAATAGAGAAGCAATTAACAAAGACTTACTTAGAAATAGAGTGTTATAATAATATGGTTAGTTGAAAGGAACATTTGTCTCAGTACGTAGGCCTATTGAGAGAACAAGTAAGGTCCAGAACTTACCATTTGCTGTATATTTGTTCCTCATTCGTGTGAGGCTTCCTTCTTGTCTTTTCGTAAAAAAAAAACGGGAAGCTACTGTAGATTTGGAGTCCTGCTGCTCACTTGTTTCTGGAAACAATTGGAGGACATTCTAGGTATAAGTCTCTTCTACTCTAACATGAGCTAATTATTTAATTCAACTTGCCAACATCCTTAGGTCTTCTTTGATGTTAGTCTTTGGCATGTCATCCCTCTTAGAATTTGTTTTTTTCTAGGAAGTCTTTTAAGTATAAATATTTATATTTCACGTCATGAAACCAATCAAAAGTTCACTGATGATTTCCGCTGTACTGCCTTATAACTTTGGCTATTTCAGTACAATCTTCACTTGGTGAAGTGACGGGGTTAGTACTCATATAGCCAATGAGAAAGGTGGTTCATTAAGCCTGACCTGTGGTAGAGTCTTCTGAGCTTATATTGGTCTGATCAGCCATGGTTGGACACACTGTACCTTGACCCCAAAACTGTGATGTCATTTTGGTCTTCCTTGAGAATTAAGGACAGGCGTGGGGCCCAAAATATGCAAACTACAGTAAGAGAAACTGAGGCAGAGCTCTGAGCCAATAGCTCTTTATTAAAAGGACCTGGCCCCCTCTAATGAAGTGGACCTCAGACCTTCCTCATGATCTGATATGCCCCCTGGTCCCCAAGATCTTATTTTTATAGAGTTTGATACCTAGATGCTCAGAAGAGGCAAAGTAAAATATTAAATCTCACTGGTTGATAGACCTTGCTTTTGAGGACCAAAAATTATTTATCAGGTGGGGGGGCGGTCACAGGGTTGGGCAAAGCACAGGACATCTCCACTGACTAAGTGATCATAAGATAGATAGGTTTCTCCTCATGTTGATAGAGAGATGGTACAGATGGGAGCAAGATACAATAACAAATTGGGGGACTTCTATATTATGCCAAAGTGTCCCAGCCATGTTGGGCTTGGACATGGTATTTGAGCAAAAGAAGATGGATATACCTATGTCAGCATGCTTGTGGTTGTACAAGTGAGCTTCATAATCGGTAAACAAATGGTAATCAGTGGATTTAAAGTTTGAGGCTTATTATAAAGGCCTACTATATGAACCTATCTTATCTGATTATTCCTATACAATTTATATAAAATATGTATTTATTTAATACATATTTATTCATGTTTACATGAATAAATGTATAAATATACATGTTTGTTCTTATACAATTACTAGATGATTGACTAAATGTATATTACTTGATGAGTACACCACCAATAATTGCTAACAATCATTACCCCTACTGAAATGGTTAATATTGATTGGAATGAAGTAGCGATCCAAATGAATCATTTCTCACACCATCAAACCAACCAATCAACTTTGAACACATACTTATCTATTCTTCACATGTGAGCCATGCCTATTAAGTAAAGGTTAGTATAATAATAACAGAAATGTCTATTTGGGATAAACTTAACTAAGTTTGATTGGTGGTAGGCAATCTGATTTATTTTATAGGAATTACAAGGAAGTAAAAATAATTTGGTTGATAAACAGTTCATTAGGTATCTGTGTATAGTAATAGCACCATTTTACACAATGTCTGGAAAGAAGCAGTCATAGTAACAATAACTCACAGATGTTAATCTGTTCTATTAGCTTCCAGTACCTAATATTTTATTCTATTACATCTTTATTCTTAGAACATCATATATTTAAGTACTACCTAGTTCTTCCAATCTCATTCTTTTCCACAAGCATATATTAAATGCCTATTATATTCAAGGCAGTGTTTTATATACAATGATAAAATTAGGAGCAATCTCTTCCCTCAAGGAGATTATAATCTATTGGTGTGATTTTGTGCGTGTATTTTGAAAAGCAAGTTAAAGTTTTTAAGTAGTGTTGGATGTAGAGGAAAAGGACCTGGGTTCCAATTTTGTCCCTGCTACTTTAAGAGAAAAGTGTCAAATTGACCTTATACAAATCACTTAAACTCTACGGACCTCAGTTTCCTTTTCTACAAAATGGAGTTGGAAAAGATGGTCTCTAAGGTCCCTTCCAACTCTATGCCTATGATCCCATGACCCTTTCTTTACTTTTCAGTGTTTTGTAATTTTTTCCGATACAGATAAAAAAAAAAAAAACTTTATGTCAGTAATTTTCCATGTGTGGGCCACACACACCTATAAAGTTATTAACAGGGATCCATCTCATTAAATGACTCAATATAATAAATAAGTAAGCATGCCTTTTTGTAGGCTATTTGAGAATGCCCTTTATACCTGGAGCCTCCACTTCCTCTCCTCTCGTTTGTTTCTAAACCCTCTGCAATGTGACTTCTGACATCGTCCTTCAACTGAAACAGCTCTCTTCAAAGTTACCAGCAATCTCTTAACTAGCAAATACCAAATCAAGTCTAATGACCTTTTCTCAACCCACTTACTTCTTGAATTCTCCATAGTGTTCGATACTATTGATTACTCTCCTCCTACATAATCCCTTCTCTCTAGGTTTCCTTGAATCTGTTCACTCCTGATTCTCCTCCTGTCTGACCATTCCTAAGCAAAAATTCCTGGATCTTCAAACATGCCAAACCTATTATCTGTGGGTGTCACTTAAGAGTCTGTCCTGGCCTCTTTTCTCTTCCCCCACTATACTTCCCTCCTTAGTGACTTCATTAGACCCCATGGATTCAATTCTCTGCACAGATGATTCCCAGACCTATGTATTCAACCCTAATCTCTCTTCTGAGCTCAGTTTTCAAATTGCTATCTCAAACACAACATTTTCCCAAAAGAAATCTTTATATTTTCCCCCAGACGCTACCCTCTTCCCAATTTTCCCATTATTGTCCAGTATAATACCCCTCTTTGAGGCACCCAGGCTCACAACCTCAGTGTCATTTTGTACTCTTCACTTGTACTCCTCCCAACATATTCAAATATGCCAAATATTGTCACTTTTCCCTTGATAATATCTCTTGTATGTGCCTCCTTTATAACACCTCTTATATACATCCCCCTTTCTCCACTCAGATAGTTGCCATCCTTGTATAGGCTCTGTCCTGGGTCCTCTTCTCTTTTCTCTTTGTATTATCTTATTTGGCAAACTCAGCTTCCGTGGGAGCTATTACTCTCTATTGCCATATCATCTCAATGCAGGTGATACTCAAATCTATAACAGATCTTCTCTCTCCTGAGCTCCAATACCACATCACTAACTACCTATTAGACATCTCAGATTTGATGTAGGCAACCTCAAACTCAACATATCCAAAACAGTTATCATTATCCACACCCCCCCCACCCCTGAAAAAAAAAATCAACTCCTCGTCTCAACTACCTCATTGCTATCCAAGACATTACCGTCCTTCCAGGCACCCAGGTTTGTAACTGGTGCCATCCTTGACTTCTCACTATCACTCACACTATACATCCAATTTATTTTCAAATCTGGTCCATTGTACCTTCATAATATATCTTGTATCCTTCTCTCCAGTCCCACAGTCACACCCTACTATAGACACTTATCATCTTTCACTTCAATTATTTCAATAGCCCTTTAACTGGCTTCCGTACCTCATATCTTTCCCCTCTCCAATCCACCTTCTACTCAGTTGGTAAAGGGTCTTCCTTAATTTCAGTTCTGCCCATGTCATCCCCTACCCTCAACTCACTCACATGTCACCCACATTTTAATAAGCCAGAATTGTGCCTTTACATTGAGAATATTTACCAAAGTTGAAATGGCATTGTCGATCACGGACAAGCCCCATCATCCATTTATGTCACAGAGCACAAATTCAAGAAGAAAATACCCTCACTCCAAAAGGAACTGCTGACAAAATCAAATAAAGATGAACTTCATTTCTTTGATTGCTTTCAAGTAGTAATATTAAAGCTAGAATCCAAACCAATGAGACACTTAAGATATTGCCACAAGGGAACTCTGTGTAATGGAAGGAAAGTGCAGATTACACAGAAGATGAGGCAAAATTCATGTCATAATGTAGAAAATCTAATGAATTCCCAAGCTTGATTCAGCAACAACACAAAACGTCTCTTCTACCTCATGGAGAATCTTGAAAACAAATTTAATTATCCTGTTGAATTCAACAGGGTTTGTTTATAATGAAAATATTGGTAGACAAGACTAACTCGAACCTACCTTTTCAGTTAAACTTTTTCATAGCAATCTTTTGTTGTTGTTCAGTCATTTCGGTTATGTCCAATTCTTTGTGGCCCCATTTGGGGTGTTCTTGGTAAAGATACTGGAGTGATTTGCCATTTCTTTCTCTAGCTCATTTTGTAAATGAAGCAAATAGGGTTAAGTGACTTGCCCAGGGTCACACAGTAAGTTTCCGAGGCTGGATTTGAACTCAGGTCTTCCTGCCTCTAGGCCCAGCATTCTATCCACTGCACCACCTAGCTGCTCTCATCAATCTTCTTAATGTGTCATTATGCTCCTTTGACTATTTTTTCTTTTGCTCAAAAAACTTCAAGGGGGTGCCATAATGACTGCCAAAGAAATATAATCATGCCAAGACCTTTCACAACTTGGTTCCAATGTCTCAAAACTTATGTTCATGAATTTTACTTTCCAGGCAAACTGGGTTAATGTTTATAACCCTATACTTGTATTTCTCTTTGCTTCCATATTCCCTCATGCTTTGCATATGGCTTCCCTTGACATCCCCCCCAACTCTCTCATCTACTGAAGTCCTTCCCTTTTTTTCCAAGCCCTGCTCAGATGTCACCTTTCCCTTGATTCTTTCTCCCTGGTGAATGTGAGCTTCCCCACCTCAAATTTCTCATAGCACTTTTCCCATACAGCTCCTTTGCACTTATCTCATTTTCCCCTATATCAAAGCTATTTATGTCCTCACTCTATCACAGAAATAAAAGCAGTTTTCTACATAGGGAGCAAAACAGTAAAAAGGCTTTATTTTTCCCATAGACTAGGCAGCCTGGTAGTACAGTGGATTTAGAGTCAAGAAGACCTGAATTCAAATTCCGCCCCATACACTGAATAGCTGTATTGACTTGGGCAAATCATTCAACCTCTCAAACTCAGTTTCCTCATTTGTAAAATCTGATAATAATAGCACCTACCTCCCTAGAGCTGTTGTGAGGATCAAATAAATTAACGCATTTAAAGAGGTTTGCAAACAATAGCATATTAATGTTATTATTATTATTTATAAGCCAAGATAGGGAGGAGAGCATCAGTTGGTTCATAAAAAAGAGATCCTCTGTGATGTGTGACAAGTAGGCTTTCGAATACAAGCCATTTTCCCACAGTTATTTCTAGTCTACAGAAATCCTACAGGCTAATAATATCATCGTTAGGCATGCTGGAATTACAACAATGGTCAGTCATTATCCCAGGGAGCAGTTTCTTATGTTCTGTGCTTAGTGGGGAGAGAAACTTTCCAATATGTTACTCTGTAACTGGCTTCACGGGTCCAAGACAGGGAGGATCTTGTCTTTTGGGTGTCCTTGCCCAAAATTTGGGGTAAAGGAAAGTAAAATATGAGCTAGATACTACTTGCCATTTGGTTGTTACTTAAATGGAAGCTTATTCTAAAATCATATGTTCCTGTCAAGAAAGGGTAAAAAGGGAACCCACCCCCCTCCATCACAACCCTCATTAGGGTTCTAAGTTGATTGAGAGCAGAGACTGCGCTGTATCTGTCTATAGGTGTGGTTTCCTGAGTTTCACTGGAAAGGAATCATCAATGATACATACCTGCTCTGAGAAGGAAGGTCCTGAGACTTGTGGGGAAGTCTTTGGTATGGCTGGAAAAGATAAGATCCTGGTAAGGAACTGAAAGCTGAAGAGCCCAGAAGACTACAGTCACCCAGAAAAAAATTATGGCCCTTTCATTAACATTCTGTGAGAAGAACATTGCCACTTCATCAGTTTCGCACAGGAAACCTTTGAAAATGAAAGTAAGCCTTGGTGAATGGCATTGAAACTCAAAGACAGGATTAGTATTAGTCTTGACATGATAAAATACTAGTTTGGCACTTTCTCTGAATATTCTCCATGCCTGGAACATTCTCCCTCCTTATCTCTGCCTACTGCCTTCCCTGGCTTCCTTCAAGTCCTAAATAAAATCCCATCTTTGACAGGAAGCCTTTCCAACCCCTCTTAATTCAAGTGCCTTCCCTCTTTTAATTATCTCCTATTTATTCTGTATATAGTTTGTACACATTTATTTGTATGTTATATTCTCCATTAGATTGTGAGCACCTTGAGGACGGGGTCTGCATTTTATCTTTTTATGTATCCCTAGTACTTAGTATCAGGCCTGGCACGTGGCAGGCACTTAATAAATGTTAATTGATTTACTGTTTGATTTATGTGGGCTCCGGCCATGTCATAGGATCTTACATTTAGCAATGGAAGGGACCTTAGAAGCCATGTGGTTCTAGTAGCTTATTTAACAGATAAGGAAATTTGAGACTCAGAGATCAAACTGTTTTGGCCAAGGCCAAACTTATAGCTAATGAGAGTCAGGAGTAGAAACTAGGTGTCCTGATGCCTTTTCCAGTAATCTTGGCACTGTACTCACTTAGAAAGGGGAAGCAATAATCACCAGGAGTTTGGACTGTCCCTGATTCTAGCATGGGTTGATACAGAACAAATTATACCAAGCTAACTCATTTCCTTTTGGAGAAAATTCCTAGAAGCCAGATCATAGAATTCCTATTATCACCATAAACTTAATTTCTACTGCTTCTGGTGCTACTACTGATGCTGTTGCTGCTACAGATTTCTATACCCGATTGATTATGTATGTTATTCCCTCTTTGAACCAATTCTGATGAGAGTAAGGTTCACTCACTTCCCCTCACCTCCCCTCTCTTCCTCTCTACTGTAAAAGCTTTTTCTTGTCTCTTTTATGTGAGATAATTTACCTCATTCTACCTCTCCCTTTCTCTTTTTCCCAGTACATTACTCTCACCCCTAAATTTTATTTTTTATATATCATCCTTTAATATTCAACTCATATCTATGCCCTCTGTCTCTATATGCTCCTTTTAACTACCCTAATGAGTAAGGTTTTATGAGTTACAAACATCATCTTCCCGGGTAGGAACATAAACAGTTTAACCTTACTAAGTCCCTTATGACTTCCCTTTCCTGTTTACCTTTTTATGCTTCTCTTGAGTCTTGTATTTTGATTTGCTTCACTTAAAGTACACAAGCACAAGAATGCAGTGATTATGAGCATTGTCATGATTTGATTGATCATTTCAAGTTGTATTATAAATCTGACTCAAGCTAGAAGAGGCAATTCTGAGAATCTCATCTATTATCTTCATTACACATATCATATCGATTAGTATGAAAATCATAATTCCCTTCACGTTCCACACCATGACGTCCCATCCTTTGACCCCTCAATCCTCTCCTCTCCTTTGGCCCACTTTCTCTGCAGCACTATCTTTGCTCTTTTCCCCATCTTGACCCTTTGGTGAATCAATTCAAATCTACGCTGTCTTCCTTTCATCCATCCCTCGCCCTCTTATCCTTTCTCAGATTCTATCGAACCAAGCCTCAGTCTTGGATCACTCCTACCATTTGCCACCTTCACTCCTACACACATGCTGCTGAAGAAAGAAATCATGCAACTGTTCTGATTGAGTTGACTATAAATTTATGCTACACAACTTCAATTGGGCCTTCACTGCAATCCTACTATATTCCCTTATCAACTCACTATCCCACTCTCCCCAGCAGCACTTCGAAACTTTTTTATCCCTCTTCACACTTTCCATGGTTCCCCATTCCCCTACCCTCTCAGCTAAAAACTGTAAGAAATGATTCATTTGGATCCCTTCTCTATTCCAATTAGTAATAATCGGTTTGATATGATTCCATAGGGATAGTGATTATAAGTTCTGTATATTGAGCCCCAGAGCTGCGAACTGCAGGTTGTAAGTTCACTTGCTTAATCATAGGAAGCTAATTAGAGGCCCTCCACCCTTGTTTTTCTTTGTTATAGTGACCAAGTCCAGCCTGGCAGAGGTAACTCAATTACATGGAAAGTTCCCCAACCTATTTTTGTACCTCTGGACCACTCTCTCTTGTCCAACATGAGCAAGTAACCATCTTATGACCACTTAGTCAGTGGAGATGCCCCATGACAACCTGAGACACCCCCCCCCCACCCCCGACATACCATTTCTAGCTGATGTATTATTTTTGGCCCATGAAGCAAAGTCTATCAACCAATGGGATTCTCTAATTTGTGTGGGCCCTTTAAAGTGTTTGGGTATCAAATCTGGTATCAAGCCTTATAAAAATAAGGCCTTGGATCAAGAGGAAGGTCTGAGGTCCACTTCATTAGAGGGGACCATGGACCCTTTAATAAAGTACCATTGGCTCAGAGCTCTGCTCAGTCTCCTTTAATATAGGTCAAATAGTTTTAATCTCCACAGAATCTTGCCTCATATTTTATAGAAAAAATTGAGGACGTTTGCCATAAGCTCCCTCTTCTCACCTCTTTCTCCTCTCCTAACACTCAGATGCCTTCTACCACTATCTCCTCCTTCATCCCTATCTTTTGTGGCCTTACTCCTTACCAAAGCTAATCTCTCTACTTATTCAAGAAATCCTATTCCATCTTATCTCTTCCAACAGATTGCCTTCTATATCATGAGCACCCTTTCACTTATTTTCAATCTATCTGTCTACTGGCTCATTCCTTACTATGTACAAACATACTCATGTCTCTCTCATCCTGAAAAAACCCTCATTTGATCCTTCCATCCCTGTCTTTTATCTCTTCTGCCCTTTGTAGCTAAATTCCTCAAAAAGGCCATCTAAAGTAGCTGGCTCCACTTTCTCTCCTTTTACTCCCTTCTTAACCCTTTACAGTCTGGCTTCTGATGTTATCATTTCACCCAAACTGCTCTCTCTAAAGTTATTAATGAGCTCTTAGTTGCCAAATCTGATGGCTTTTTCTCAATCCCCATTCCCCTTGACCTCTCTGCAGCCTTTGACACTGTTGATCACACTCTCTTCCTCAATACTCTTTTCTTTCTCAGTTTTCAGAACACCACTCTCTCCTGGTTCTCCTCCTTCCTCTCTTACTGCTCCTTCTCTGTTTCCTGCTCTTCCTTTAACTACAGGTGTGTTTCAGGGTTCTGTCCTGGGCCCTCTTCTCTTCTCCCTCTAAACTACTTCAGTCAGTGATCTCATCATTTTCCATAGAGTTAATCACTATCTCTATACCGAAGATTCCCAAGCTTTCTTTATGGACTTTTGATTGTTATGCAAAACAACTTACCTGGTGAAACTGTGAGGTGCCTAACCCCTTAGTACCCTATAATAACCCTGTTCCCAGCCCCATCCTGGGGTACCCCAGCACTTTCTGTGTGGCACCCTGAGCTGGCACCTAACTCACTTACAGGATTAAAGGCCTCCATTTTGTTGTATTTACTTTTTTCACTTAAAATTCACATTGACACAGAGAAATGTATCTCATGAAAAGATCAACTCAGTGCTTCCATGTTTGTGCAGATATTAAGATTTATGCTTTCTAATAATCAGTACTGACCCTCATCCTGGTTAATACTCAACTTATTTAGGTCAATATAATCACAGATGGAGTCCACATTCACTTTCTCAGTGTCAACTTCTAGACTGTGATAGAGACAAAGAGACACAGAAAGGGACAGAGAGACAGGAGGAGGAAAGTGGAGGCAAGTTGTTGTAGAAGACAATGAGGAGAGATTCGGTTTATATGTAGAAGGGACATTTTGATCCCTTTCTGTCTTGTCCTATCACTGTTTATGTCTTGGTAAATCCCATCTCTGAATTACAGCATTATGCAAAGGTTAGAGCATTGCACTTGGAGTCAAGAAGTCATAGCTTTAGATCCCATCTATGACATTTATTAGCTCTGTGATGCTGGGCAAGTCATTTAATTTCTCTGGGTCACAGTAGAAGAAGGACATTTTGGGCAGCTACATCAGTGGCTGGAGCCTTATTCCCCTGAGCCAATTATATATTGAAAACAGTTTCATTGCTTTTTTTAAGGGAAAAAAAACATTAACTTGTATGTGTGTGGGGTGAAAGTCCCAAGGGGGACAGTACCTTATACTTCTAGGATGTTACACACAGAAGTATGACCCTCTCTGAATGTAGGTCAAAGAAAGTACACATAGTGGGAGTTTGGGAGATTGATGAACTTAGAAGCAAAGATTTTGAGTTACCAACTTGTAAATTGAAGTCACCTTGTGTAAGGAGAGGAATTGGGATAGAGAGGAAGACTGAGTCAGATACTGAACTCCTAGAGAAAGGAGAGAGAATGACCTGTGGGTCAGTAAATAGAAAACACCAGGATCTGAAAAGGACGATACTGTGTCTGAATGGAGTCAGCCCCATAGTAGGAAAGGCTACTGGGTGACAAAGAAGGCCAAGGAGTGGCAGGGAACAACAATGAGTATATTTATTCTTCATGGTTCAGTGTGTGCCAGGGAACATGAAAGAAGTATTGGTGGGTGTTAGCTAGGGATAATGTGACACCTGGTGGTAACTACATTTCTATGATTGCAAGAAAATGAAAGAAGTTTGAGAGAAGAGCTCTAATAGTGAAATTCATTTTGATACATTTTTATTGATATCTTTTGTTAAATTTGTTTCCCCCTATATCCTTTTCCCTCCTTTTTCCAGAGAGCCATCCCTTTCATACAAATTTAAAAGAGAGAGAGAGAGAGAGAGAGAGAGAGAGAGAGAGAGAGAGAGAGA